GCTCCTGACACGCTTTGTGAGATTCACCCAAATATTTAGAGCTCGGATTTGACACATTTATGAGACAAGATGAGTTTGTCAGGTTAGTATTAGTATGCAGAATGTGTGTTCGTACTTCTCAGCCATCCTGCGCAGTGTTTTGAGAGAGGCCTTCATGTCCTCCTCCGTCAGGCCCACCAGCAGCCCATTGTCCTCCACCCCGATCTGATACACCGCCTCGCCGCGGCCCTCCTGTAAGCGCCACTTCATCTGCGTGGCCAGGTGCTCGAAGCGGTACTGCGTGGGGTTCACCAGCTTCAGCTAAAACACAACACGGACCACGCTAAAGATAACAACAACACTGTCTGGCTGAAGGTAGAAATGGGAGTGCTTGGTTGCGATTCGGGCATCAGCAGAACAAACGTAATGCAGTAATGAAGGGAGTGTTTTGTTTGCAGGCAGCTAAACACAGCAGCTGACGTGTATAAAAAGCTGTGCTAATCTACTGCGGCATACATTTACTCGGACTGCGGCCTGCTCGCTACTTACAATGCATTGTGGGTAACCTATGCATGCGTAAAATGCAATACAAAATATTATCGACCAGGTGTATTCTTTCAACAAACATTCATGCGCAAATCACGCTCTGTTGTGTTCGGTGCATATCTGGTAAATACGTCTGCAGATGTTCGCTTGCGGAGAGTTTACCTTGTACTCGATGTTTCCCTCTTCAGCCTGAAACACAAGATAGGACAGAGTTAATGCTTGAACCGAGCTCAAACGTCTCACAGTTCAGGATTCAAAAGCACAAAGACAGAAGAGAAAGAGCCGCGCAGAAAGTCCAACAGATATGTTGGCTCATTCAGAATTATCTCTTACTGTACATGTCTTACTACCTTAATTTGAGATCCATTTCCCTCACACTTTAACTGTAGGTCGGATCAGTTGCTAACTTCAAAACTATTTAAGCACAGACAAAACGAACAAGGTAGTGTTGAACATGCGTCACAGCCCTAGGCATAATTCATTTGCTTTTACTAAAGTAGAAACAATCTGGTTCAACAAGTCCAGCTAATGACTGACTTCAACACTGAATCAGCATTCATCACCTCTTCCCGCCTTTCTCTCTGATATTCACAAACATGTCAATGTGACACAATGAAACAATACGGACACAATAATGATTCAACAGACTGGATGTCATAGAAACGGCCCAACCTCTCATTACACTCCTTCTCTCTCATCTTTATTGATGTCCACGTCTCGCTTTTTCTTTCTACAGAAGCTCTCCTTTATTACCAGCCAAACAAAAAAGTGAAAGCCATGAATTTCTCTCAAACGTTCTGCAGTGTGACAAGCTATAATAACTCAACTCATGTAATTATCACACATACAAGCAGTTTTATAAGCTTAAATTAAAGGGGTCATATGATGCTATTTTAAAGATCATTATTT